AAAATTTGCTGTCTCCATTTCAGACCTGGGCTAAAGGGAGTCTTCAACTAGCTACTGACTTTGTTTTTCATTAACAAACAACTTGGAATGCCCAGGGCTGCTGCTCTTCCTGTTCATAGCCATCAGGGTCTCCCTCCCAGTGAGGGCATCATTCTCCGCTCAGGGTGCTCACCTGGTAGAGGGTGCTGGACATGGAGAAGTCGGGGCTTTTGGGACCTTCCATCCCATCCTGCACCCCTACCTCTAGTAGTTCTGGGTCTGAAGGATGCTCCCCTCTTATGGATCCTTGTGTTCAAGCCTGAGCTGAGTCACTGACCCACCTCAGAGGTCACCAGGAGCAAGAATCGAGTCTTGGAGCCAGCAAGACGGCTTGGCGGGTAAAGCACCCGCTTGCAAGTCTAAAACCTGAGACTGTTTGTTTTTCAGAGAGGCCATGTAAAGGTTTTGGAAGGAGAGAACTCTGTCCAAAAGCTCCACACATACATCATAGCTCACATACAACCTTCCACAGACACTTCCTATACACACAATAAGGAAGGAAGAAGGGAGAGAAGAAGGAAGGAAGGAAGGAGGGAGGGAGGGAGGGAGGGAGGGAGGGAGGGAGGAAAAAAGGGAAGGGATGAGGGTTTGGGGAGCTCTGAGGGTCTGCCCATTAACAAGGAAGAGAACTTTAAAACATTTCCAGCCCTGGGAGGCAGGAGGAATTGTGGGAGATGATGACTCCGATGAAAGTGATAGCTCACAAGTGTGTAGTAAAACACAAAAGCACACACTCTAGACCGAAGACCAGCAAACACCATCAACCCAGGACCCAGAGATGGTTGCGGAACTGATTTTATAGAAACAGAGCATGAGAATGAATCAGACCGTCTCTCTGTGGGTTCCCGGTCCTCTACCACCTTCTAAGGCTCCCCAGGGCAGCTGCTGGACACCCCTGACCAGTATCCAGGAAGTTTTACACTTTACACACATTTGTTCATGCGCTATACACACGAGCTCACGCTTCTTACAAAGTTTCCAGTAAGGATTTACTTACTGCCCTGCAGTCCCTTTGCGGCTGGATACCATCTCCTGCTTTTCTCTACAAGAACAGAGGTGAGGAGATGACACAGAGAGGAACAGAGCAACAGGGACAGGAGCGGAGCAGGTGTGATATTTAATTGTACTTTTACTCTTGTATCTACTTTTTTTTTCTTTTCTTTTCTTTTTTTTTTTTTTTTGGTTTTTCGAGACAGGGTTTCCCTGTAGCTTTGGTGCCTGTCCTGGAACTAGCTCTTGTAGACCAGGCTGGCCTCGAACTCCCAGAGATCCGCCTGTATCTACTTTTGCCTTCAAACAAGGGGCCTTTGTTAGAGAGCTGTTGAGTCATAGGTTTGTGTGTCTGTCACCCTAGTGCTGTGTAAGTCCTGGATGCATGAACCCCCTCTGGCAATGAGCACAGATTTCAGCACACCTGGGTGGGTGGGGGGTGGGGACACTGAATGTCTTTCAACCCTTTTTCCCTGCTCTGCTGCAACAGGCTGGAAGCTGGGTGCAAAGATTCTGAGGTCACACTTCCTCTTCCCTTGAGTGTTCCCCACAGCCAGCAGCTAAGAGGGTGTAGGTCTGCAAAACTAGAATGGAGTCCCGTTCCACCACCAACCCCCCACACCCCCACACCCCCGCCAAGAGGGTTGGGCGTTGTGCCTTCCTGCCAGCCATGCTCACAGAAATATATGTGTAGGAAACGCAGCCAGAAAGAAACCCAGCGAAAATGAGCTACGAAACTTGGACATCCTGGAGAAATAATATTTAGAGAGGAAACTCCTGAGCCGACTCTACCGGCACACCAACCAGCCCTGGCGGAGGTCTGAGGTCACGTTCTAGGCAGGCCCCAGCTCTTGTTTACCTCTGTGAGATCTTTCCAAGGCCTGGATGGGATTCCACAAAAGGAAGAACTTGCCCTCACCCAGCCCTGCAGCAAGAGACAGAGCTAAGGTGTTAAATGCTTTAAAAACAAACAAACAAACAAACCTTCCCTGGGGAGTTTGGTGGAGCAAGCCTGTAATTCTAGTAGTTGGGCAACAGAGGCAAGAAGATTGAGAGTTTGAGGTCATCCTTGGCTATATAGCAAGTTTGAGGCCAGCCTGGGCTACATGGAGCCCTATCTCAAAAAAAAACAAAACAAAAAAAAAAACTAATTTAGCCTGGGATCCTGGGCTTAAACTCAGGTCGGTAGTCTGCAAGGCAGAGGCTTTTAACCACTGAGCCATCTCATGGCCCTTAAAACTTTTCTTCATGGGGTTGTACGAACATCTCTATGATTTTTGATTTTCAAGAAAGAATCTCCCAGGCTCCTAACCATGATCCTTGCATATCTACCCCAGCTCCTGTTCAGGCCTTGGGCCCCACTAATTTCCTCACTGTATTTACGTATTTGCTTATTCTGGGTTTTTCGTGCAACTGCAATCACTGACTTCCCTATGTCACAGCATGCACCACAGCTGTGCTCTTTTACCTGGACATGCCATGCCATTCTGTGTCCAGAGCATCACGATCATACGTAGCCACCCGCTTCACAGACAGTTAGATCTGGAAAGACCTGGATAGACATGGAACCTAACACCCACCATTCTGCCCAAGACAGATTAAGTAGCCTCGCCAGGGTCACCCCACTAGCTGGATGCAGAGTCCAGCCTCAAGTCTCATATCTCTTATCTTGGCCCCATTAATTCCAGAGAATGTGTTGGGAACACAACTCAAAGACCACAGCTTGTTGAGGGTGGCTTGGCAGAACCATTTCTGCTAATATTAGCCTAATGACTTTCGCACACGTGTGAGCGTGCGAACACACACACACACGAACTGAAAGTTACACAGGTATAGCATAGTGAGCAAGTGATTGCTCTGAGAGGCTGGAGAGAGCAGCTCCTAGATGTTCTTAGCCCTACTGTCTCATGACCAGACTTTCAGAGATGACCAGAGTTAGGAAGCCCAGTAGGAATGGAAGTTGGTAGCTCCCAGCTCCCAGCTCCCTTCCTGTAATTTCAACTGTCTCTGCTCACCACAGGAAGTAGGCAGACTTCCGAGGATGGAGAGGTACATCTTCTAGAGGTGATGGAACTCTGTGTCACTCCTGCGTGAATTGTAGGATGAGGAAAGCAGAGGGGAAGAGGGAAAGAGCAGCACATCTGTCAGGATGTGGTCAACGGTCAGAGAACAGATAGCTACAAAATGGAGCACAAGTCAACTAGCAAAAAAGAACACGCAAGAGGGTAGAGAGACAGTTCAGCAATTAACACCACTGGCTGCTCTCCCACTGGACCTGGGTTCAATTCCCAGCACCCACAGAGCAGCTCACAACTGTCTGTAAATTCAGTCCCAGAGGCTCTGAATCTATCTTCCGGCCTCCGTGAGAACTGCACACAAATGGTGCACACACACAAGTTCAGTGTAAACACTCATACACTTAAATTTTCACACACACCCTGCAAAAGCAACCTCTTTCATCTCTGACAGCTGTTAAGAAAAAACAAGGATGGAGAACTGTGTGAAGAGAACACTAACGCTGTCGCAGGGGGAATCTATGTGTTTGGCAGTCACGCACAGCTCTCTCGAGAAAAGCACACATGTGCCATCTCTAGGATTGGCCTTCTGTGTGCTTCCATCTCCCAGGATGAAGCTTATGTACAGAAGGGAGGGCCAGGAGCTCAGCCACTGAAGCTGCGTATCCATCGCTATACTGAAGGATGGGACGGGGTCTAAGTGGACCCATAGAGAAATCTGTCAAGTCCATTGCCCTCCAACCCAGCCCTGTTTATTGGGCTGCCATCCTGGTCCTGATTTCATTATGAGTAGAAGCGCAATAAAACGCCACATACCTCTTAATTATATTTTCCTGTCATAATCCTGACTCCTGCCTAGGCCATGGCCACCGCTAATCTACTTTCTAGACATACTTACTTTTGGCCCTCTCACTTCAAGTCAGAATGACAGTTGTGACTGTCTAGAGGCTAAAGAAATTATCCACAGGAGTCCAACATTAATTCTGTCTCCCAAGGATAACCATTAACGACTTCCCTTCAGAGGTCAACAAGCAAAATAACAATTATCCATTGGGTATTAGCCTCTGAGATACGTCCATCACTACCCAAAGCCCCTTAGGAGGACCAACCAGAACACATGGTGATAGGTGTCTTAAGCGACTTGGGATCCTTGCCTTTAGTCGTAAGGTGTCTTAGCATGGGTCCCAGGCCCTTTAGCATGCTCTCTGCATCAGAGGATGTTTTGTACATGCTTGGCCGCTGCCCACTAATGCCAGTGTCCCTTACCATCCCCTCCAGCTGTAATGACACAGACAATCCCCCAGGCTTTTCCAGGCATCCCTTGTGGAAGAAAATGACCCCCAGTTGAAAACATTGCTTTTGTCCCGTCCCTGCATTTATGGGCAAATGGGTAACTCCTTCCTCTCTGCCAGGGACCCATCTGGGATGCCTTGGGAGTGGAGGGGTTTACTAAATTTCACTGTGGGTGAGTTCTGACTCCCTTGAACTCTCTCCTCTCTAGGAAAAGAACGGTTTCTGGGTTTAAAATATTAATGATCCGCCAACATGTCACTCTCTGCCTTGAAAGTGCGTCCCTATCCAGTAGGGTGACAGCTAAAACTGTTGCCACTGCCTGCTCTACAGTACTCCAAGAACTAGTACTAGCCGAGCGGAACCAGGGAAGCCAGCATCACCTCTCTCTGTAATTGTTTCTCCTCAGGTGACAGAGGGGGAGGACAGAGGAGCTGGGCAGGCGTGCACAGCATATGGACTGGCAAGCCAGCCATTGTCCCTCCTAGTCTCAGGAATGCCACTTCTCGTGAACAGAAAGGAAAGGGAACTACTGTTTGGATTCACCGAAGGGCTCGTCCTCTGCTACAGAACGAATGAGCAGAATTTTCCATGGCCGACTGTTCTGGCTGCGGGACGACTGGCAAAAGTGTTTGTTGACTTTTGCTTGTGTTATTTTCATTCCAGTTCAGCTGCAGCTGAGTGCGGAAAGCGCGGGCGAAGTGTATATAAAGGGTACGGAGACTGGCCAGTACTTGGCCATGGACACGGATGGGCTTTTATACGGCTCAGTAAGTATGAGGCTGACGCCTCCAGACTCAGCCAAGGCTTGAGGTTTCCAGAAGTCTTGTTACGTGGGAGATACAAATGAAAGACCCTCAATTAGTCTTTGTTTGTTATTTTTTCCAGTACGATTCCCACCCTCCACCTTGCTTTATTTTAGGCATTGAACATAAAAGAGTTTCTTGTGGTATTCTCTCAAAATACTCCAATTATCGCACAGAGAAGAAATGATGGTTGGTAATTTGCTAACTTGTTGGGCACTCCTTCCAGAATGCCTAATCCTACTCTATTCATTCGGTCCAAAAGTGTCCCTGAGTTGAGTGAGAGCTATGTGTCTCTTAATGTCCTGCCTGTTTGGGGGCGGGGGGGGAGGGTAACATGTGTGCACATAAGCACTGAGGGCCAGAGAACAACCTTGGGGGTCAGTCCTCAACAGGGTCCCTCACTAGCCTGGAACTTGCCATGTAGACTAAGCTGGCTTGCTAGAAAATGCCAGGGTGAAAGAAAGAAAGAGAGAGGGGGGAGGAGAGGGGGGAGGGGCAAAGAGAAGAGAAGAGAAGAGAAGAGAAGAGAAGAGAAGAGAAGAAAAGAAAAGAAAAGAAAGGCCAGGGTCTGCCTGTCTTCCAATACCCACTGCTGGGACATGCATGCACCAAGCTTGACGTTTTTTTAGTGTAGGTACTGGAAACTGAAGTCAGGTATACTGGTTATTGTTACTTCTCTCGTCTCTTAATGCTTTTTTAAAAAATAAAAATTGCAGTAGTTTAGCACTTAAAACATTAAATTGTATAAAAATTTGAAGATTTTTTTCAAGGTCACCTACAATGTTAAGTCAACTTGCAATGCTTTGGATTCAGTGATTCTTTCTCTGTATCCGAGCACTTATCAGAATCTTGCCTGTAATTTGTGGCCCAAATCCCTCCCTTTCTGGAAGATGGGGCCTACAAAAAAGGCAGTCTGGAAAGCAGGTTTAGTGTGGGCTGACTTTCAGTGGTATCAAACTGCCAAAGCAGTACAGGCGTAGAAGCCTGCTAGGTGTGGACACAGCGCAGCTACCCCACTGCCCACTAGAGGGCAGAAGATGGAACGCTGTCATGGGAAAAGACAGTGCAGGTGATTGGAGCTGGGTGTGACTGCTGCCCAAGAAAAGGACTTTAAGGCAATTCTTCTAATCACCCATCAAATCCAAATCAGTCAACCATTCCATCTTAGACCCTCAGATGAAGCTCATACATTTCCTATCCTAACTAGCTGTTTGTCCACTGTGAGCCCTGTCTATCCCAACGGACAGTACCTACACAGGCTCAAGATGGTCCAAGGGGACAGCATGGGGAACTTGCTCACGAGCTTCTGGCACCTGGGAGGCCCTATACTGATGACACCCCTAAGACAAACGATCAGCTTGTGAGCCCCACACACTCACTATGTCTTAGAGATTGTGCTGAGGTTTTAGACTTTTTCTATCTGAAATTAATTTTGACACTTATTCTAATATTTTACACTTAAATATAAATGTTGAGGGAGAACTGCCTGAAGCCAGTGTTCTCAAGGCTCTAGAAAAAGAAATCCCTGTCCCACATCAACCATAGCCATCACTGAATTCACCCAAATAAGACCTTAGCATGTCCTACCTACGAATCTTTGCATATACCATATTGACAAAGAAACAGTCTAACAGAGCTGAAAACTCTCTCATACTCAGAGCAAATTTTAGGTATTCATCCATTCCGATTCCTATTTGTGGTCTGTGTAGAACAGATATTTTTGTTTCGAAAAATTAAGTTTGAAACACTGTATAACGAAGTATTAATATAGTTATCTACAGTGGTGGTAAGTGGGTGGGTTTATAAAACACTAACGGCTTCCTGTATTTTCCAGATTTTCTACAATGTGTGTATGTCACTCAAGTAACTGGGACAGGGAAGCATGCTAAATATAAAAATAGAAACAGCCACAACAATAGGCATGAATCAGGGCCTGAGGACCATGTACCCAGCACTGTGCCAAATGTATAGTAAGTACACACAAAGCCTGGCTGCGTGGTGCAGTAGCTCTGAGAGGGCTGGCCTCCTCAGTCATGACTCAGCCACTCTGCACATCGGCTGCACCAGTGTGACAAAGAACAACAGGTAGGGTCTAGGACCAACCCCACCTTCATCACCCGACACCCACTGAGGGCCATGATGGGGTAATCATACTCCAGGGTCATGACGACCCACACAGTCTAAAACCACCTCCTTCCTTCTGTCTCAACAATGTGCCCTAGTACTAGTGTCTGGACCAAGTTCCTCCAGAGGCAGAGTCATTCAATTAAATACTATATTTATAGCCTGTTTTGTTCCAGAAGGGTCCACAATGTCTCACCCAGGTGTCACTTCCCCAGACTATAAATGAATAAGAAGCCGGACACTTCCTGTTGCATAGTTCCTTGCTAATAAAAGCGCTGGGGCTGGGATGTCGCTCAGCGGTAAACTCTGCTTAGCAGAAATCTGGCTCCCACCCAAGCAGGAAGAGAAAAGAATTCCACTTACCCACTCGAGAGGTAATGAGCAGCCAGCATCCGCAAAGCCGGGTCTAAAGGGAAATACAAGACCAGAGAGGCTAGCAAGATTCACCTCTCCATTTGGTAGGTCTCGTACCCTAATAAAACAAACACGTCCACATATAAAGAACAATGAATGATCTGATAGAACACCAAAACCATGGCAAGGGAATCAGAACTCAGCTGTGCTTGAAGAGAGTCCATAAGGATCATGACTTGGTAAAGGCACAGTCCGATACGGCAGGTCATCAAAAGGACAGTGTATAGCGTAAGAATTTCCACATGGCTGCCTTAAATTCAAATTAAGTACGAGCATTCCAGAATCTGCTCCTATAGAAGTTTGAAACATTGACTTCTTTCCCTCTTAATAGAATAATTGCAGGTAAAATATCAGCTGATAGACTTTTCCCAAATAACCATATTATTGACATGCTTGGGCTATTTCAATAAGCCAAAGCCGCACTGGATTCTACTGTGAGGGAGGAACTTTATCACCTTGTCATAGGCATCTTCCATTGTACTGCCACAATAGCCAATACTTCAAAATCCACCCTCAAATTGGGACTTTATATTCATTCAACTGCTTCCTAATGGCAAAGTCCTAGAAGGGAAATTGCTGCACCAAAGGTAATAACACATGCTTTAGGGCAGGAGGGGCTTGCCTAGCATGAGGGAGAACTTTAAGTTCAAGTCCCAGAAGTGGAACAAAGAAGAGAAAGGGAAACATGGAGAGAGGATGTTTCAGATTTTGATACCTATCTCCAAGTCATACTCAGAAAGATATCCTAACTAATAATGACTAATAATATTTTAACTTCACTTTTCCTTGGTAGGGATATTGAATATACTTTCATCAGTTTATTGCTCAATATTAAAACAGCAGATAAGGTGGTGGTGCATGTCTTTAATCCCTGCACTCAAGAGGCAGAGAGATTTCTGTGAGTTTGAGGCCAGCCTGGTCTACAAAGCAAATTCCAGAACAGACAGGACTGTAAAACAGAGAAATCCTGTCTCAAAAAAATAAAAAAAAAAAAAAAGACTATGACCTTAACAGGTTATGAATCTATATCTGTAGAGCCTTATACATTCTACATGTGCACGAAGAGATAGGGGAGTTTTGTGAAATGTGAACAGTTGTCTAGAGTTGGGAACATCGCTCTGTGGTAGAACATTTAACTAGAATATACAAGGTCCTGCATTTACTCCCTGGCAATATATCAAACTGTTGCACGAGGAGCGTGGCCCTTTGTTCCCTCCATCCTGCTAGCTTACACCCAAAATAATCACACAGAAACTATATTCATTTAAACACTGCCTGGCCATTAGCTCTAGCCTCCTATTGGCTAACTCTCACATCTTGATTTAATCCATTTCTATTAAAATTAAGAAGTATAGTTCTTTTCAGAAACAATAGAAATAAGTTAGATTATTTTTTTCTTTCTCTAAGTGTCTTGTCATGGTGGCACATGCTCATGGAAGGCAGGTAGAAGAGAACCAGGAGCTCAAGGCCTGTCTGAGAGCAACAGAAACACACTGAAGCTCCTCTGTGTGTTTGGATGTGCAAAGCACATTTCACATAAGTATTTGTGTTCATAACAACACTGAGGCAAAAATCCCAGCCTTTTAGTGACAATCACCAGTGTGGGGAGGAATCTGAGATCCTCACACAGCTGGTGAACAAGAGAGGAAGGGAACCCTGTTTCAAACCACTCACTAACTGTTCTGTCCTCCTCCCCTTGGTTTTTATCCTTTAGCAGACACCAGATGAGGAATGCCTGTTCCTAGAAAGGCTGGAAGAGAACCATTATAACACCTACACATCCAAGAAGCATGCGGAGAAGAACTGGTTTGTGGGCCTCAAGAAGAACGGGAGCTGCAAGCGCGGTCCTCGGACTCACTACGGCCAGAAAGCAATCTTGTTTCTCCCCCTGCCGGTGTCTTCTGACTAGGGGGATCTGCCTGGGTGCTCCCTATTTTGGTTGACCCTAAAATGTTCCCTTGACCATTGGCTGCGCTAACCCCCAGCCCACAGAGCCTGAATTCGTAAGCAGTGCTTCTAAATTGCCAGCTCACTTTTCTGCTGAGCCCTTCCCCTGCCAGCACAGTTTGGAACAGAAGGACCAAGTTGCTTCTATGGGGCCAACTGGCTGGTCAGTCTAGGTCTTGGTTTGGATTTCCGGTTGCCTCCGGGCACCTGCCGCAAGCTGCACCTCAGGACACAAAGATGAGGCCGTGTGAAGCCTCCAGAGGGATCTGAGAAGTTGGTCCTTAGCAGTTCCATGCTCTTTCCCCCTACTGAGAAAGCCCTGGTTTGACTACCCCAGGCACCTAACAAGTCTACCCTTCCCCCACCAGCACCCCACAAATATTAGCAAAGAAACCGATAGTGAAACTGGAGGAATTCTATGATAGAGACAGAAATCCTCCTCCCACACCCCCTCCCCCATGCACAGATGGCACTTAAAACCAAAAGGGAGTGGCATTTCCGCGGACGGCCTAGAAGCATGGGATCTCAGCATAGCTTAAGAAGGCTCATCCCAGCAGTAGGTGTTACCAAGGAAACCTCTACACTCAGGGGATGAGCCCTGGAAATGGTTTCTTGATAACAGTAAGCACAGTGATCTAGGGTTAAGAGAGTAGGTGTAGGAGCAGTGAGAAGGGTGCCTTCAGCTGTGGATGCTAGCCTCTAAAACGGGGAGATTCTAAACACAAGGAGAGAGAAAGGGAAAGCAAAGCCATGGCATGGTGTGCTTGGTCACCAAGAAACATTGGGGTCCCAGGATGATGCCCCCAGAATCGTACATGCATATAGATCACCTGAGGATTTGGTTTGGATATGAAAGCTGATTTGACAGGGCAGGTCGGGGAGCGCTGTGTTCGGAAAGGGCTCCCAGGTCCTGTAGATGTTGTTGGCTTCCCCACCACGCTTTCAAGGGCAGAAACTGCTATTCAGATGAAGGTTCCTCAAACCCCACCCTCCTCTGCCTCCACCACCTGGGTCCCTGGACATTCAGGCAGTGTGCATGGTAGTTAAGCATGGTTATAAGGCACTTTGGCCCAGGGCCTATAAAATGCCCACTTAGAAGACATAAAGAAAGCATACCTCAAAAAAAAAAAAAGACAAAAAAGTTAAACCTCACCAATAGGCTTTCCCAAGAGACCATTTCTGTTACCGTTATGTCTCCGAGCAGGCCTCCTCTTAAAGTAAACTTGGCCCAAGTGGCCATCAAATCAGAAACACTATTCATCTCTGACATATGACACAGATACCGTGGGAAGGCCTTTCACACGCCGTTTCAACGTACTGTGAGACTGTATATTTTCGTCACATTTTATATAGCTTGAAGGAATTAAACGGATTCTCATTCAGCCAGAGACTAATAACAACTGTGTGGGAGGGGTAAGCTACTTAATTATCTAACACACTACGTTTATGCCTGAGGCTTTTCTCCTTTGTCTTCTACTGTGTTTAAAGACGGGTATCTAGGGGCTGGAGAGGCGGCTTAGCAGTTAAGAGCGTAAGGCTCCCACAAAGAATAGTTCAGTTCCCAGCATGCACATCCCATGCTCACACCTGGTTCTAACTCCAACTCCAGGAGCCTGATGTCCTCTTCTGACCTCTAGGGCTACTGCATGCACAAGTACAAACCCACACCCAGATATGCACACATTTTTTTTTTAATCTAAAGCAACAATATGGTGGCTGTGGGTTAAAACCAATGAGAGTTTTCACTTGTTTGACAAGGATCTACAGGAATCATTCCAAAAAAAAAAAAAAAAAGTTCTTATAACAACACGGTCATATTTAGGATGGGAGAGAGATGATGAAGCTCTGAGAGTTCCCAGTGCTGATGGAGGAGCTGACCTGAGTTATCTGACAACATGGTAAATAATAACGTTCTGTCGAATGTGGTGGTGCACACCTTGAATCCCAGAATTTAGGAGGCAGAGGCAGGTGGACCTCTGTAAGACTCAGTTCAGCCTGGTCTACACAGCAAGTCCCAGGACAGCCAGGGGTAGGTATATAGAGAGTCCCTGCCTTTAAAAAAGATTCATAATAATTATAACAATGTTTTGCTTTTTTATAATAAAATGATTCATGACCTTTTTTTTTTTTTTAGTCTATAACTTGGCTAATACAATTCTGTTTTGTTTTAGTAAATCTCAGACACACAGGGAATGATAAAACATGGGTTACTATGCCTTTGTATAATGATTTGAAGATGTGGCCAGGAAAAGTCTACAGAGAAGCAATCTACGATACTTAGAATAGTCGTTAGTTTTTCTTATATGAACCAAACCCAAGGATAACATTGGCCAAGACAAACTGAAAACCACCGCACACTGATGAACGGAGTCTGTGACTTCAGAGGCTCAAAGCACTGCTGTGCCCTGTGGCCCTAACAACCAACCAAGCCACCATCCATGTGTTTGCTCAATAGACACTGAGGCCCGGGGTGTGTCAGGCATTGGATGGTGGCCCCTGGGGACCATGCCAGTCTGGCATCCTCTCCCTGGGCATCTATTCATGAGGAGAGAGATGCTCTGGATTAATTTCTCCAGTCAAGTAAAAACCCAGGCTGCATAGATTCCTACTGAATCAAAGTCAATAGTATGCCCTAGAAATCCCGAACGGTAGATAACCCCCAACAAAGTGATAGGGGACAAGCTTGGCAAAGTAAACTCAGGACTTTCGGTGTTAGCCCTGTGTCTGCCTCACGGGAGTGGACTAGCTTCCAGTCAGGAAAAGAGCTGTCGGTTCTTGCAGAAAGGGAGCAGTAAGCGGGTCCCTGTGCTGTTTGGAACATTGAACGTGGGAGCGTTCGGTTGTGCAACTCTCTTCCATAACTCAGTCTCAAAGCCATCTGCTTGTCACGTGCCTCTCACATGCACTCAGTTCCAAGCTGACGGCAACAAGGTGTTCAACGCTCCCTACAAAGCATGAGGAGCATATGGGCGTTTGACAGTAACATCCTAGAAATGGAGCCGGCCGTTTCCCCCAGTGGCCGCCAGTGTGTCCAGACGAAAAGCTAACTGGTCCATCAGCTGCCATGGAAGATGAGGCCCCTGCTTTGCATTGAAGGCAGTGGCACCCAAATCCCCAGCTCTGCCCAGAACACTGCCTAAAGTCACCACGGTCCCTGGCTGCGGAGCAGGCTCTGATGAAGACGCCTGATGTTGTTTACCCCATCCCTCCCCCCGTATCACACTCTGCACCTTATAGATACTAATAAATGTTGTGTTAATGGGTAACACGTCTCGGGTTTCTAAGCGTATCTCTATGGAAGGACACTGGGCATCTCGGAGGTGACATCAGGCATTCCAGGGAGTCAGCTGCGTCTTTTTCTACAGTCATCCTACTATTAAGTAGGAGATGCTGAAGGTGAATGAGAAAAGCTAAAGTAGAAACAGTTCCACCTTGTTTGGAAGCAAGGCAATATGAGGGATTTACTATATCTTTGGAAGAGGAATCATCTAGAAACTTACAAGCACGCTTAACAACTCAAGGACTTTTTCTTCCTTGTACACAGTGTGCGAGATCATACAGCTATTGTCAAGTTGACAGGCTTCTACTTAAGCTAAGATATTATGAACTGGAAAAAATTTAAGTAAAATTAAGGATTTACTCAAAATTTTCAGTCAGTGTCAAAGGGCTTTGTCTTAGGATGTGATGTGATGTGAGAATTAAGAACAGGCACTCTGTTGCCTAGCATATGGCAGAATTAACGTTCTCCCTCAATGGCTGTCTCTTTTAAATTCTCTCTCTCTCTCTCTCTCTCTCTCTCTCTCACTCACTCACTCAGTCATGCACATGGACCACCTAGAAAAATAACCAGGCAGGACTGGAGTAGAGCTGAGGAGAGAGAGAGGTGAGGAGAGAGAGAGCTTCCCCGGCAAGCTCGAGGCCCTGGGTTCAATCTCCAGCCCCACAAAAGGCAGAAACTAAACAGATGGGCAGCCCGCACTCACGCTACAGTGACAATCAACCCTCCTTCTCCTTCTAATGTTGCTTGAAGTCCTGGGAGGTGACTCAGCAGCTAAGGTGCTGCTGAGCAAGCCTGGAGACCCCAGTTTGATTCACGAAAAGGTGGAAGGAGAGAATCCACTCCACAGGGCTATCCTTTGACCTCCACAAGTACACCATGCGTGCCCCCAAATGATGGAGGAAGGTCATTGGTTAAATAAAAAGAAACTGCTTGGCCCTCATTGGTTAGAAGATAGGTGGGAGGAGTAAACAGAACAGAACACTGGGAGGAAGAGGAAGTGAGCTCAGACTCCACAGCTCTCCTCTCGGGAGCAGATGCCTCAGAGAGACGCCATGCTCCCAGCTCCCAGGCAGATGCACGCAATGAAGCTCCGACCCAGGATGGACATAGGCTAGAATCTTCCCGGTAAGACCGGTGCACACAGTTTATTAGAGATGAGTTGATCGGGATATCAGAATTAGCCAGTAAGGGCTAGAGCTAAAGGGCCAAGCAGTGATTAAATGAATACAGTTTGTGTGCTGTTATTTCGGGCATAAGCTAGCCAGGCAGCCGGGGTGCTGGGGACACAGCCCCGCCGCCCCTATTTACTACACCCAAATAACAATAAATAGTAACAATAATAATAATATTGTAAGTTATCTTAAGTGGTACTTCAGAGTTTTGGAGTACCCCCACCACTCACCATTATAACCCAGAACATAGAAACCCTTACATATACACCCGGCTGAAACACAATTTCACAAAAAGTATGGGGTACGTTGTGTTCTTTCTGTGAACTAAAAGGTCAAACCTAGCTCGATTCCAGACCACAGCTTTAATGGGTCACAGCCACAGTTTGAAAAATGCTAGCTTAAAGCAACCGTTCTCCTTTCCAGAGATGAAGAGGCCCAATTATGATTCTGCGCCACGACTGTAGTGTTTACAAAGACATAGTTCATTCTGGAATAAATAGGACAAGGGGACATCCTGTGATACAGGCACCATCTGTTCCGAAGCTTGCTGAGTTCTCTGAGCCATGAGCAATGCAAAATGAACAAAATGATGAGATGCCCCGAGCATCCGCTGCGGCCTCTGGGGCAGGTCCTGCTGGGAATCCTGGAGACTCAGGTCTGCTTCCTCTCCCTGGAGAATTCTCACCCTTTGGCTATTAGGGTCACTCCCTCCCTGACTCTCACAGTCTTTATCTCTCTGATCTTTGTTGGCCACAGAGTCCTAGTTCATTATTACTTCTATGAAACGCTGAGGGGGGTGGTTATACCTAGGGCCTTTGAGTAGCAGCTTCTGGAAATGATCTTCTCACCTCTTATCTACCTAAGACACACACACAAAAAAAACCTTACCACCATGACTCAGTACTGAGGCAAACACCACTGCTGCCCCAGTACAGCCTGTACACGAAGTTTGAAATTGCATTTTTGATGAGCCAACTTTTAGAAGGTGACTCTCTGCCTTTTAAATGCTTGAGGGGTTAGGAGAGCTGAGATTGCCCCTTAGGGGTGCCCTTGACCACAAAGAGCAAAACAAAAATGATGTCATCACTTTCAATGCTTATATGATGGAATTCCTGTTTGCCGAAGGGCTAGGGAGAGGACTCAGGCCCACGGCACAGGGACATTCTTGTCATATTGGCTACCATAGTAACAGTGGTCCCTCCATTCAACAACAGCAAAATGGTGTCTTTCTACTTTTCACAAATTAAGTTTTTTTTCTTTTTCCATGCTCGTATGTATATGTGTGGTGGGCACATGAGTATGGATGTTGTGGATGTGAGGGGAGGGTATTGCATTCACAGTGTGTGACATACACATAAAGGCACAAGGCTGTTGTTGGAAATCATCCCCCAACAACAATGTACCTTAGTTATTCAGACAAGGTCTCTCAATCGACTCAGAACTCACCGATGCAGCTAGTCCTACTAGCTAGCTTATTCTGGGGATACCCTGTCTTTACCTTCCGAAGCTGGAATTATTGCATGCAGACCATCATACTCATGTTTCATCTGTGTATGTTCTGGGGATTCAAACTCCATTCACACTGGCACTATGAACGCTTGAACTGCTGAGTTATGTCCCCAGCCCACAAAAGTTGTTAGGGGCCATCATGACACTATAGGGCGACTGAAGCCCAAATGAACCGTGAAACTACGTATTCTCCATCTCAAAAGCACTAGAGGTAATTTCTTTCACAACCAGTAAAATGACATAATCCCCCTCCCAAACCTGTCCTTTGCTCCCCAGAAAGAATTTCCTTTTGCCATTGCACATAAAACTCACTCTAACTTTCAGCCGGAGCTGGAGGCGCAGGGATGTGACATCAGGCCGTCTCACCGACTCTACTAACATCCCCTCAAACTTTGGAGGCCCTATGCTAGGACTGCTGGAAGCTCGCCAAACATCGGTTCCACTTTGCAGCTGACATCGTGACCATGACATATTCAACTGTTAGCTTTACACCCTGGTTAATAAAACAGGAAATGAGGTCACACACTGCCCGAAGCCAGACAGGGGTTTGCTTCACCCAAGCACATATTACAGGACCTAATTTGGGGGTCTTCTGATGGGGCTTGAATGTCTGTGATGTGGGGAGGAGGTATTTTCCAAATCACTTCCTCCTCCTACCCCATTGCACCACACGGGCTAAATTTACAGAAGCAGCAGCTAAACGCCGGTGTCCGCTTTATGACATAAACAAGCAAAACCTCACCCTCCCCTAGCCTCAGCGAAGGGTAGGGGCCTCCCTGCTGGGAACTCCATTCAGTTTAAGAAGCTCATTCACTTGGTCCAAGTGTTTGAGGATGTGGGTGTAGAAAGGCAATGTGCGCAGGAGTGGACTTCGTTTTGGTTTTCACGTTTTACATTTTCCTGCCATAGGGAAATGCAGACCAGCTTCTGTGTGAGGTGGAAAGTCAGGACTCTGAGGGTCTGGGGACACCAGCTAAGCATCTGGCAAACCCCGTGGAGATGAACAGGAAACTCTATGTCACTCTCAAAACAGGACACCTGCATTGAGAGCTGGACAATGGCGCCAGCTTTAGAATGGGCCAG